ATCACATGTCAACCCACTGACAATGATAACCCACTTGTCACGCCACGTCAGTGACCTAGTACATTCGGAGCGATAACCACAAGAAGTGTTTATATATATTAGCACAACGTGGGTGCGGTGGTGAGGTGAAATGGGGTTTAACGTCATGCGTGTGTATGTGTGGCTGCTTGTACTAGCCCAGACGTAAGCTGGTTTTATTGTGTAAGCTCACTGAGATACCATGCCGCAGTGAAGCATGAATACCCCACTCAGACGCATAATACTGACTCCGAGCCGACCAGTCCTTGTTGTTCCCATTAATGCCGAGCGCCTGGCAGGTGCCATATCTTAAAGGTCACATGCAACGTAAAACATAAGTTTGCAGATTCTGATACCTTTCGGTATGGACTTATAGTAACAAATGATCAAAAATGCAAATTCAACTTATAAAGTTGAAAATTAGCGCGATGAAACACACACACATTGATTTACCCCAGCTTTGGATTGTTTGCAGCTATGCTGCGCGCGTTCTGTCTCTGTAACATTATGTAATTACAGAGACAGGCGCGTTCTGTGATAACATTATGTAATTACACGCGATAGGTTATGGTGTCTGTTGATTGCAAAATGGTATACACAAAAAATGAGCATGTATTTAAAAAACCAACATCTCTATACACGCACAAAGAGTGTATCGGCAAATGAACCAGCCAATGAAAGCCTACGTTACGCTTGAGTGCAAGCCCATCCGCTCTGACTGGGTTCGGTATCCCGGGTGCTTCGTTTCGAAGGAAGTAAACCCAAATACAAAATATTGCACTTTTGATTCGCGCTTGTAATTTATAATTTGTCTTCTTATAATTTTGTTTGTTTAGTTTTTCATAATCAGCAATGTATATTATATGTCATGAATAAGTGATAATTGTGTTTTAATTATGTTTTGTTTTTTTGTTGCATGTGACCTTTAACGACTTTTGGTATGACGCGGCCGGTGATCAAACCCGCTACACCACAGAGGCGGCCTACAACAACATGGATGTCAGGCCTATGACCTACATGCGAACCGATGGCTACTGGAGTTGTTTACATATATTAACACGCCGTTGGTGTCGGGCCCATGACCTTGTACACACGGACCAATAACTACAGGAAGTGTTTATATGTATTAACACAACGTGGGCGTCGCCGATTAATCTCGCCATATTAATATCAGTTGATGAAAGGCCTATATAACCCTGTTGGCATGGAACGTTTATTTGATTGCTGATTATCAAGGATTCGCTGATTTTATCATGGCGTGAAATTCATCTTGAGAGAAGTTTGATTACGGTTTTGAGAAATTCATTAAATTACAAAACGTTGGGATAAAAATGACGTCAGTAAGTGACGTGTTCTGTCTTTAAAGTGTGAGACATGTTTTTTCTGTCTATTTTCGGCAAAACAAATGGCGTCCATATCAAAAGATATTTTGTTTTCATCAATACAATTCGCATCAATCTTATGTAGTACAACTGAATCCCTACATTGTTAAAGCACGGTGGTTAAAGCGTTCACTCGTCACGCTAAATACATTTGTCGATCTATTTGTATTTACACTCTGTGTTCAGCCAATTTCTGGTGGCCCCCGCCTTAACAGTGCTCGGACATTTTATAAAGCTGCTTAAATACAAACCTCCTCAATATTCCGTAAAATGTTGTGTATGGAATCCTTGAATGGACATTCTCGCCTCACAAAACGAAGCAAAAGTGTCAAACTTAACCAAAGCGCGACAATGCTTTGGATAATTTTCACACTTTTTGCTTGTTTCTTTGCAACAATTTCCTCTCTTGGGTTACATAGTTGCAGCTAATAACATTCCTGATATAGCATCCCTTTTGGCAATTAGAGGTACCACGATGGTACATCTAGTATACATCTATTGTATCAGCAATGGTACATCTAGCGTATCATTAATACTGCAGTTAACGAGAATACTGGCACGTGATATACAGAATAATTGTTGGTCTTTCCATATCTAGATGCTTGTGGTAAGTGGATTGGGTCCTACGCTTCGCTGACTTGGTTGACATATGACATCGTATCCAAGACGCCTAGATCGATGATCATGATGTTAATCACTGGATTGTCTGGTCCAAGTGCGATTATTTATAGACCATCGTCATATGGCAGTAATCTTGCAGAGTGCGGCGATAAGCAAATGGTTTTTATTTGTTTGTTTGTTGTTTAAGGCTGCACTCGGCAATATTCCATATATATGGCGGCGGTCTGTAAATAATCGAGTCAACCACGTCAGCGAGCCTGATCACCCGATCCCGTTAGTCGCCTCTTACGACAAGCACGGGGATGCTGAAGACCAATTCTAACCCCGATATACTGAAAACAAGCCCCAGTGAGATGGGAGAATCACAATCCGAGGAAAGTTTGGCACTGATTCATTTCGTGGTTTTGGTCGTAAAGAAAACGTGTATGGATCAGGGTAGGGCTGGGACGAAAACTCGGGTACTTGAATCCGGGTCGGGTATACCTGGAATCGAGTCCTATTTCTAGGAATCGAGTACCCGGAAAGGGAGAGAACTCTGTAATGACGGGGGCAGATAATAACTTGTCTTTTTCATAATTGACGTAACACACATTTACATCATTGGTATTGTCCGATTAATGAAGGTTATTATTAACGACTGTAATTTATCTACGCATGAGCGACGGGAACGAAAAGTTCTGTGTTTTAACGAGGAATGTAAGTAATGCTGATACTCTTTATGTTGGTTAAATATACGTAAATTAAATAGCCTAAGATCTTTTTAATGCCTTATTGCCATCTTTCAAGTTTCTCTAATAATCTCTGTCAAATCGTGATTGAATATTCAGACAGTTGACAGAAGCACTGCATTCCATACAATTCCGGGTACTCGATTCCGATTCGGGTAAGCACATGCGGGTACTCGATTCCATTTTTTCCTACCCGTCCAAGCCCTAGTTCAGGGTCTGCGAGAGACAGCTTTACTTCTTATTTAAAAAAAGAAGATATCCTCAGCAAAAACATTATTCAGTGAACAAGGTTCCATTAGAACCTACTTCTTGTTAAATTGTATAAATGTGAACTATATTATTACCGTCACTGATGCTTTCCTCCGTTATATATATATATAACATTTTGACTGCAAATCGAGCAATTTCTATGGCTTATCCAAAATTCATAAAAGTAAGGAAATCATAACATATTGTGAAAGTGCCCAAAGCAGCTATGTTGAGATGAAACACCCGAGAGATTTGAAACCCGACCAATAATTGCAGGCCCAGCGTGTGGTACACATTGACTCAGTAATTTCATTGATATTTTATTGAAACCAATCTCATCAAATGTTAAAAGTTTTACTCGTGACACCATGCATTTCCTTTCCTCCTTACCACAAAGCGTTAATGAAAAATTAAAACTTGTAACTTTTGATGTGAAAAAATGTATTCAAATGTCTCACATAGCCTAGGAATTAAAGCGTTGGATTATTGGTTAAACCGTTGTGGAGAACGCATACCATAGAGAATTTCAAAATCATTCATTTTGGAAAGCGTTGAATTCATCTTGACGAATTTTTTTTTTCCTTTTTGATGATGAGTGCTATAAACAAATTAAAGGAACAGTCATGGGAACTAAAATGGCGCCGCTTGTCATGGGATATCTGGAGGAAAAGTTCAAACTTAAAATCAGTCAAATTCTTGGAGAGTAGGGCTCTGACGGGTAGCAAAAATCGGACTCGAGTACCCGAGGGATAAAACCCGACCCGGACTCGAGTACCCGAAAATTATAGCATCAATTTTAGTGAGAGCTATGTGCGTGTGTTTTAAGTAGCTTTCAATGGAATTTCACACAAGAATGCCGCACTTATAAGCTATAACGTCTGTACTAAATTGAAAACTTACACGAAATCTTTCCTTAAAACGTGTGGTTATCAAATTTGACGAACCACAACCTAATATCATTGACTTATTTGACTAGCATCGGTTTATGCAGGGCCACATTATTCAACTGAGCAATAGCCCATATCAGAAACCAGTTCATGTGTAGCATAGGGTCGCATGTTGCAACACGTTGTTATTAATACACAAAATCGAGAGTTTGAAAAGCTTTGAGACAATGAGGTTCAACCGACAATGCAGAGAACAAAACCAAAACAAGCCATTGTCAAAATCAGAACATTTATTAAAGCACATTTCGTTTAACCAATATCAAATGTGAATTTCTTTGAAAAGATTGCGAATTGTAACAAAATGAAATTTCCACATCAGCTGTTGACAACATTAACAGTTGTACGTGTTGATTAACGCATGTAACTTGAAAACTAGAAATTCAATAAACTGATGATAGTTATAAGATAAAACATTGTATCAATCATGAAATAACCAAACTAGCGCCACAATGCAATTCTTTTAACAATCGACATCAATTTGGTTGAATTGTCGAAGAATTAAACGATTTAATGGGAAACACATATCCCTGAAGTAACAACAAATAATTAAGTACTGATTAAAACTGTAACTCTTGAGTTCACCTCGATTTAGGAGTACAATCTCTGTTACTCTGTGTATGTTATGTCCGGAGAATAAGTCAGTATACTTGACAACTGAGTAAGTTAGACATTAAAATATGCTTCAACAATGATTGAATCAGAACCCAATTTAAGTACATTTAACTCTCTATGGTAATTGGTACACAAATTTTATATCTATAACATGAACACAACGAACTGGAAAACAGCTGGGAATCCCATGCATCACAAATGTGTCATCTTTAACTGTTAAGCATTTCTTCTGGCAGATCGGGAAGAGATGGGTTCTGTTGTTTTTGTACTGACTCACATTTCACTTGGGGAAAGTCCTGTAATGTTCTTGTGATGTTAGGAGCGCGCTCAGTTTCAGAAGCTGTATAATCCGGCATTGTGGCAACTGTGGATTCTGGCTTTGCGAAAGAGGTACGCATGTTTTTGTTAAGAAATATAATAGCATCAGACGTGTCGGGGTGGAGTTAAGCTCTCTGTTGTGTGGTTGTAAGCCCGGCTGCAGAAAATGCCCTCTCTGATGGTACACTAGTGCCTGGAATAGAGAGGAAACGTTGTGCAAGGGTTGCAACTCTTGGGAAACAGTGTTTGTTTTCTTTCCACCAGCTTAAACTGAATGGTTTGCCTGCTTGCAAGTTAGAAACCTTTGCTGCAGAAGTAAGGAAATCCTCGTACTCTTGTTGTGCATTTCTTGAAGACAAGTCAGCGTTCTGGTCATCGGCAATCTCAATTATGTCTCCGGACAGGAAATTCATAGCCTTTTCTGTTTCACAGTACTTGTTTTTTTTCATTGGTGACACTGGTTCCTGCTTGACAGTTACTTGTTCGATAGCTGGTGGGGTGGAAGGAGGGGGTTCTTGACCTTCTCCAGATGTTTCCCTCAAGAGTGTAACAACATGTTCTCGTGTTCCTCTCCGCTGTTCTTCATTAAGAAAGCGAAGATTTTTGAAACACGGATCCAGTGCTGTGGCCGTCATGGTTGGGGATAGCCAGAAGTCAGCTGTCACAAGGCGGGATTTAAGTCCATCTGCTAAAGTTGTTTTCATGTCAGCCACAATGCGAGTGTCCAAATCCGACGGAATTAGGTGTTTTGTGACTAAGGCAAACACCAGTGGATAAACTCCAGCAGCAGTGGGGAACTCCTCGCTGCACAACACCTCTGTTGCAGAAACAAGTGGTTTGAGTGCAACTATCAACTGTTCGAGGAGACGCCATTGGTTGTCTTTGAGGTTGAGATGCTTTTGTTTCTTGAATTTGTCATCATGAAGAACTGCTACAATTGATGCGTGCAACACATTTAGCCTCTCAAACATGAAATATACAGAATTCCATCTCGTTGGAACATCAGTGACTACGTGCTTCACCGTTTTGCCAAGACGCTTCTGTACATCTTCAAGCTCCTGTGTAGCTAGGACAGATTTCGAAAAATAACTTACCAGTTTTTGTGCGTGAATAATCACGTTGTCAATGGCATTCAATTTCAGTGCATCATGGACAGCTAACTGCAGGGTATGTGCGAAACATCGCACGTGTGGGAAGCCAGTTGCCCTTGCCGCCACAGTCATATTGTTTGCGTTGTCTGTTGTCAGACCACAAACATACTCAATTTCAAACTCCGTTTGGATGGATACCAAGGCATCAGCGATGTTCTCGCCTGTATGGCGATCCTCCACGCGTCTAGTGGCAAGAATGCATGATTTTAGATCCCACTCGTCTGTGATGTAATGCCCTGTGACGGTGATGTAACCGTGGGTGGCACAGCTGGTCCACATATCTGTTGTCAAAGATACGCCAGGGGACTGCTTTAGAATATCCTTAAGCTGAGTTTTGGTGTCGGCATATTCTTTCATAAGGTAATTATGGAGGGTCTTTGGACATGGTACGATATAACTGGGATTCAGTGAGTGACAAAAATCACGAAAACCATTACCTTTAACAAGGTTCAAAGGTCTGAGGTCTCTAACGCACATCAGCATGGCCTTGCGTGTGAGTGTCTCGTATGTTTTTTGAGTCAAGCTTTTTTCGGTTGTAACCACCAAAATATCCCTGCGTCAGCGTGGCTTGCTTTTTGACTGGAGTTTGGGAAGAATCGTCCACACTAACGGACTTGTGTTTCATGTTAAGCTGTTTTCTCATCGAGCTGGTTGAGCTCCCTGCATAACTCAGCATAATGCCGCAAAGGCGACACTTGGTTTTGTGTTTTGAACTGTCAAGATCAAAATGGGCCCATACGTTCGACCTTTTCTCATCCATGACTGCACGTTTGGTCACGATTAGTTTAGAGTTATCTCCCTTTGTCGGGTACTCGAGTTCTGGAATTTGGACTCGAGTCCTGCCGTACCCGACCCGTTGCCGGGTACTCGAGTACCCGTCAGAGCCCTATTGGAGAGGATGTTACCCATCGCTTCATGGATAATTGGAAAAGATTTCTAGACGACTGCTTCATAATTTGGCCATTTTCTGAGGGGAAACTAAATAACTGTTTGTTGGTAGGTGGTATATGTAGGTAGGCGGGTGTATGTATGTAGGTAGGTTGTGTATGTAGGTAGGTGGGTGTATGTAGGTAGGTGGATGTATGTAGGTAGGTTGTGTATGTAGGTAGGTTGTATATGTAGGTTAGGTTGTGTATGTAGGTAGGTGGGTGTATGTAGGTAGGCGGGTGTATGTAGGTAGGTGGGTATATGTAGGTAGCTTGGTGTATGTAGATAGGTGGGTGTATGTAGATAGGTGGATGTATGTAGGTAGGTGGGTGTATGTAGGTAGGTGAATGTATGTATGTAGGTGGGTGTATGTAGGTAGGTGGGTGTATGTATGTAGGTGGGTGTATGTAGGTAGGTGGGTGTATATATGTAGGTGGATGTATGTAGGTAGGTGGGTGTATGTATGTAGGTGGATGTTTGTAGGTAGGTGGGTGTATGTAGGTAGGTAGGTGTATGTAAGTAGCTTGGTGTATGTAAGTAGGGTGGTGTATGTAAGTAGGTGGGTGTATGAATGTTCTTTATTTCCACCAATGGTTAGGAGAGTTATGCATCCAGTTATGTATATATTTTTAGAGCATAACACACATTTGTGACAAAATAGAAAGTTCAATAATATTTGAAAAATTCAACAGAACATAAAAAATCATAGCTCTTGGCGACAGATGATCACTGGGCAATATGTACAAAGCATTGCATGCTATTCTTATAAATACAGAATGCTGGCTAAGTTCCATGCACTGATGCGTTTTGCGAAAATGCTCATGAACCTAACCCTGCTATCGAGAGTCATGTCCTGCACAACCGGAGTAATGGAACAAGGTATGTGAGGATTTTAACCTCGTCTTCAGCATCTTCGAGTCTCATATACGTGTCAAGAGACACGTTATCAAACAGATGCTCGCTCAGTGCGTTCCTGTTTTCTACCAGCTTGTCACAGTAGAATAGTTGATGTTTTACAATGTCCTCACTTTCAGTCTCGCATATAAGACACAGTCCAAGTGTGACGGGCAGTATACCCAACTTTATCAGAGCATAGACAGGAGGGGTGGCCATTTTATACCACAAACACAGGTTCCAGAGACGATGAGGAGAGAGGCGCGTATGAATGGCACCAAATATCTGCATATTTGGACGCTCTTGGAGTTTATTTCTCCATTCAGTGTGTTCGTGGTGGCATATAGCCTTCTGTACCATGGAATTCCATACATTTTTGCATGGAAATTCTCCTGTTGTCATGAAGGTGTCAATGATATCTGAAAATCCATATTTGTGAGCTGCATTCAAGAGGTCATGGGCAATCGATCTTGTACTTTTTACCACAGTAGACATATATTCCGCGAATCTCAAATACATGATAGGCTTCACAATACTGGTACTGGCTGAGCGACAGAGTCGGCCCCAAAACAGGAGCTTTGATTTATCTACTCTGCCTTGCATTGACCATAGCCCTAGTAGCGCTGGACAATTTCCATTTCATTCATCTCAGTGCTGCTGATATTGCTCCATAGCTCACATGCGTAGAATGCAGAAGGAAAGATAACTCTTTGCCAGGTATTGGACGATGACACAGTGTTTAATCCACCAGCTCGTAATCCTACATCTCGGAGTGAGTTTATTGCTCTTCTCGCCTTGGCACATGCACGAGTTGTCCTTTCTCTTGCTTTCTCTGTATGCATGATGGATCCCGCATACACAATGTTGGATTTGATTGGCAGTCTTACATCCCCGATTCTGAAAACGGGTTTGTTGAGATATTTTGTAGAATTTGTGAAGGACAGGACACAGCTCTTACTGGCGTTGTATGTCATTCTCCAACGGCAGGCATATTGGTGGATCTTGTTAAGAGCCATATTGAGACCATGTACAGTAGTACTGACGACTGTGGTGTCGTCAGCAAGTAGAACTGTCGGGATATGATTCGTGCCAATAATTAGTCCACACTGTAATTGGTCTAGCTCCGAAATAAGGTCATTGATGTAGACTAGAAACATCCATGCTGATATCACTCGCCCTTGTCCTACTCCTTGGTGGATATGAAAAACATCACTTGTCATCCCGTTGTACTTTACACGGGCTTGTGCTTCTTTATATGATTGCTGGATTAGATGCTATGCACGATCCTTCACACCAATAGTGTGTAGTTTCAGGAGGAGTCCGTCGTGTCATATTCTGTCGAAGGCCTTCTCGTTGTCTAGGAAAGCAGCATACACGCTGTGGTGTATGTATGTAGGTGGGTGTGTGTATGTAGGTGGATGTATGTGTATAGGTGGATGTATGTAGGTAGGGTAGTGTATGTATGTAGGTGGGTGTATATAGCTATAGGTAGGTGGGTGTATGTAGGTAAGTGGGTGTATGTAGATGGTTGGATCTTTATAGGTATGTGGGCGTATGTAGGTAGGTGAGTGTATGTATGTAGGTAGGTTGGTGTTTTGTAGGTAGGTAGGTGTATGTAGGTAGGTGGGTGTATGCTTGTAGGTAGGTGAATATAGGTAGGTGAGTGTATGTAGGTAGGTGAGTGTATGCAGATAGGTAGGTGTATGTAGGTAGGTGGGTGTATGTAGGTTGGTGGGTGTATGTAGGTAGGTGAGTGTATGTAGGTAGGTGAGTGTATGTAGGTAGGTGAGTGTATGTAGGTAGGTGAGTATATGTAGGTATGTGGATGTATGTAGGTGGGTGTATGTTGGTAGGTGGGTGTATGTAGGTTGGTGGGTGTATGTAGGTAGGTGGGTGTATGTAGGTAGGTGGGTGTATGTAGGTAGGTGAGTGTATGTAGGTAGGTGAGTGTATGTAGGTAGGTGAGTGTATGTAGGTATGTGGGTGTATGTAGTAGGTGGGTGTATGTTTGTAGGTGGGTGTATGTAGGTAGGTGAGTATATGTAGGTATGTGGGTGTATATAGGTGGGTGTATGTTTGTAGGTGAGTGTATGTAGGTAGGTGAGTATATGTAGGTATGTGGGTGTATGTAGGTGGGTGTATGTTTGTAGGTGGGTGTATGTAGGTAGGTGAGTGTATGTAGGTAGGTGGGTGTATGTAGGTAGGTGGGTGTATGTAGGTGGGTGTATGTTGGTAGGTGGGTGTATGTAGGTAGGTGGGTGTATGTATGTAGGTGGGTGTATGTAGGTAGGTGGGTGTATGTAGGTAGGTGGGTGTTTGTAGGTATGTGGGTGTATGTAGGTAGGTGGGTGTATGTATGTAGGTGGGTGTATGTAGGTAGGTGGATGTATGTATGTAGGTGGGTGTATGTATGTAGGTGGGTGTATGTAGGTAGGTGGGTGTATGTAGGTATGTGGGTGTATGTATGTAGGTAGGTGGGTGTATGTAGGTATGTGGGTGTATATAGGTTGGTGTATGTTGGTAGGTGGGTGTATGTATATAGGTGGATCTGTCTAGGTAAGTGGGTGTATGTATGTAGGTGGGTGTATGTAGGTAGGTGGGTGTATGTGGGTAGGTGGTGTATGTAGGTGGATGAGTGTATGTAGGTAGGTGGTGTATGTAGGTAGTTGGTGTATGTAGGTAGATGGTTGTATGTGGGTAGGTGGTGTATGTAGGTAGAGGGGTTTATGTAGGTAGGTGGTGTATGTAGGTAGATGGGTGTATGTGGGTAGGTGGTGTATGTAGGTAGATGGGTGTATGTATGTAGGTGGGTGTATGTAGGTAGGTGGGTGTATGTAGGTAGGTGGTGTATGTAGGTAGATGGGTGTATGTAGGTAGTTGAGTGTGTGTATGTAGGTGGGTGTATCTATGTATGTGGGTGTATGGAGGTAGGTGGGTTTATGTATGTAGGTGGGTGTAAGTAGGTAGGTGGGTGTATGTAGATTGGTGGGTGCATGTATGTGGGTCGTATATATAGGTAGGTTGTGTAGGTAGGTATCTGGGTGTGCGTTGGTAGGCGTGTGTATGTAGGTAGGTGGGTGTATGTTGGTAGGTTGGTGTCTGTTTGTAGGTGAGTGTATGTAGGTGAGGTGAGATGAGGTGAAATTGGGTTTAACGTCGTGCTTGAGAATATTTCGCTCACATGACGACGTGCATGCGTGTGTATGTGTCTGTTCGGCTGCTTGTTCTAGCCCAGACTGAAGCTGGTTTTATAGTGCTAGCCCACTGAGATACCATGCCGCAGTGAAGCATGAATACCCCACTCAGACACATTATACTGACTCCGAGATGACCAGTCCTTGTTGTACCCATTAATGCCGAGTGCCAAGCAGGGACCAACAAGTACCATATTTTAACGTCTTTTGGTATCACGCGATCGGGGATCGAACCCGCGATCATCCGTTCTCCGGGCGGACGCTCTAACCACTACACCAAGTAGGCGGTCTGTATGTAGGTAAGTGAGTGTATGTAGGTATGTGGGTGTGTGTTGGTTGGTGGGTGTATGTAGGTAGGCCGTGTGCGTGTGCGCGCGTGCGTGTGTTTGCGTGTGTCTTTAGCTCGTGTTTGTCGTTAGCACGCGTACAAAGGAACGTGTCCATTGAGTTAAGAGAAGCAGTTCTGTACTAAATACACAGCATTCTCCTCTTACCAACCGAAAGTGACCTTTTATTTTCAAACGTGCCATTATAAATATTCCTTCAAATTCACGAATGATTTACATGGTATAATACTGATATCAAGTCCCATGTAAACCATTGTCAACCATCTGCCACAGGGACACGGCCCTGTCCCTCAGAATACAATATCATAAACCCTCATCCATCACAACAAAAGGACCCCCGCGACGTTTTGAAAGTCCCCCGTTTGAAGGTAGGACGCTTGCGTGCAGGCCCTTCATATTGACCTGGCACCAATGGCACCCTAGGGAGCTGCCGAGAAGGGTACAATGGACAGAGACACAAAGGCCACATCAGAGAGAGCTTAGCTTTGCTTGGTATATAATAAGATCCTACTCTATCTTTCCATTGTTCCTCCTATAATGGACGCGTCTTTCAGCAGGACGGTAATAACGGGCACTAATTATTCCTGCTTCCTATTTGTTCTCGGGGAATATTTGCATTGGCAGCGTTGTCAGTAAATATGGAATGATTTTTTTTTGCGAAAATTTCAATGTGCACTTGCGTAAGTTTAAAGTTTAAACATTAAGATTTTGTTAAGTATTTCACTCAAGCAAATCAATGCATCGCGTACAGTTGAAGATATAGTGTCAGGTAAAGAAACATTCACCAATGTTTGTTGGTGGGTAATAGAGAAAAAGTAGAATAGAGCAGAAATGACAATGTATTTTATACAGGTATCATATTTGTTTGTTTGTTTCTTACCTTAAATTTGCAGTTGTTCAGGTGGCAAGGTTTTGTTTAAGTTTGTAAGTGTTTGTTGTGTACTTTTGCACTGCAGTTTACATCGCATTTGAGGGTCTTCTTTCCATCTTTTCAGCAGATAACAAATGGAACATATTGTACTAGGAGGACCGTACTGGAAGAACTTCTATCAGGTGACACTTAAGTTGTACAAGGTAGGTAGGTAAGTATACAAGTTTATTATACAGCTATAGCAGGAGTGAGTGACTGAGTGAGTGGGTGGGTGGGTGGGTGGAGTTGGCGTATGGGTGCGTGCGTGCGTGCGTGCGTGCGTGAGTGATTGAGTGGACGGGTTGGCGTATGGCTGAGTGCGTGCGTGCGTGCGTGAGTGAGTGAGTGAGATATCACTGCGTGAGTGAGATATCACTGCGTGTCAGCTGCAAGATGCAGGGAGACATAAGATGATGCAGTTCCCTGCGTTTACCACGTTGGCGATGCAGGCCACTGCAGTGAGTGAGTGAGTGTGACTGCAGTGAGTGAGTGAGTGAGTGAGTGGTGAGTGAGTGAGTGAGTGGGTGGGTGGGTGTGGTGAGGTGAGTGTGGTGAGTGAGTGGAGTGAGTGAGGTGAGTGGTGAGTGGTGAGTGAGTGAGTGAGTGAGTGAGTGAGTGAGTGAGTGAGTGAGTGAGTGAGATATCACTACGTGTCAGCTGCAAGATGCAGGGAGACATAAGATGATGTTGTTCCCTGCGTATACCACGCTAGCGATCTTGGCGCTGCAGGCCAAGAGACCATACCATAAACCGGTATTCTAACAAATAGGTCTATCACATGTTTCTGGCTTTGACCAGAAGAGGTAAAAGAGGGTAAAAGTCATGTTCAAGAATGTTGCACTTCCATATGGCGTGGGTGCATGTGTGTAGCGGTGGCGCGCGTGCGTTGCTGCTTGTTAACTAGTCCAGAGAAAACCCTAATTTACTGAACTGACCAGCCTTTGATCTGTCTCCTGAAAGTTGGAGCTAACAGCCTAATAACAACAAAACCGTCTTTTACAGCGCCCTGTTATGACGTGACCGGGGTTCTCACCACCGCCAAGCTCAGCAACAGCACGTTGCTGGACGGGAAGAGGTAGTTTATGTTGACGGATGTCTGTAAAGCGTTTCATGAAGGCCAGCTGCAGTCTGGCCAAAGAGACTGACTGAATTTGAAGACTGCCTTGCCTGCAAGTGGTTCCCGTAAATTCTGTCATGTTCTCTCTGGCGAAGCAGCGAAGAGCGGGTGGGGGGAACAGTGTCCATGGAAACGCTTGCAACCAGACACACTAAAGCACAAGCGTTGAGAAATATTGTGTGAGTGAGTGAGTTATAATTTAACGTCACATCGGAAGTAGTTCAGCGTGACGAGAACAATTTTTGTCGAAAGTGGGCAATAAAACAACTGGAGAATCGCAGATTTGACTAAAAGCGTAAATGTCATCATAAACAAGCTACCACTATACAGAGCTATAAAATCTAAAATCAGTCTATAAATCCATGGGGACCGACGGTACCTTTGCTACCTGCCTGAACCAAAGCTGTATTTAAATCATTCCTTTGGTGGTTATTATTTGTGATTGTTGAAAAATTCTGCCAAACATTAAAAGATCACATATTCTACTGTTAAAACAATGACATATAGAAAAATATTTTGAATGACATACTTTTATATACCTAAGAAATATTGGAACCCGGGACGTTGGCAGATAGCTGTCAGCGCCCCACCCAAGTATTCACTGGCGCTCCGACCCACCTGTCCAAGTATTCACTGGCGCTCCGACCCACCTGTCCAAGTATTCACTGGCGCTCCGACCCACCTGTCCAAGTATTCACTGGCGCTCCGACCCACCTGTCCAAGTATTCACTGGCGCTCCGACCCACCTGTCCAAGTATTCACTGGCGCTCCGACCCACCTGTCCAAGTATTCACTGGCGCTCCGACCCACCTATTCACTGGCGCTGACCCACCTGTCCAAGTATTCACAGGCGCCCGACCCACCTGTCCAAGTATTCACAGGCGCTCCGACCCACCTGTCCAAGTATTCACAGGCGCTCCGACCCACCTGTCCAAGTATTCACTGGCGCTCCGACCCACCTGTCCAAGTATTCACTGGCGCTCCGACCCACCTGTCCAAGTATTCACAGGCGCTCCGACCCACCTGTCCAAGTATTCACAGGCGCTCCGACCCACCTGTCCAAGTATTCACAGGCGACCCACCTGTCCAAGTATTCCTGGACCCACCTGTCCAAGTATTCACAGGCGCTCCGACCCACCTGTCCAAGTATTCACAGGCGCTCCTGGACCCACCTGTCCAGTATTCACAGTATTCACAGGCGCTCCGACCCACCTGTCCAAGTATTCACTGGCGCTCCGACCCACCTGTCCAAGTATTCACTGGCGCTCCGACCTACCTGTCCAAGTATTCACAGGCGCTCCGACCCACCAGTACATGTATGCACAGGTTTACCTATTGAGATGGGCCGCTGGTATAATATTCCAAGGGACGAGAGAACGTGTCAACTATGCGCTTCTAAAAGCATCGCAGATGAATATCATTATATTTTTCATTGCAAGGCATTAGATTATTTGAGGAAACAATATTTACCCTCCCATCTAACCTCTTTCCCCAATGAAACAAAGTTCACGAAAATATTATCTTCAAAACCATCTCGAGACATAGTAAATCTATCAAAATATATCCTACATCTATCATCCCTTGTCAGAAACAATGTTGATATGTTGTTTACTGCCATCTTGAATTTTAATTTGCATATGTATATATGTTTACAAAATATGCTCTTGTACCACCAAGGTGGATTATGAGAATAAAAAGAATTGAATTGAGAATTGAATTGGCAGTCTGATCCACAGCCAATTTGTAAAACCGCCAAATTATTCTATTATATAACACGGAGAGCAAGTTTACGAGTCGTTAGTCAGGTGCCAGGGCGCTAAAAGACAACAATCACATATGCCGGTAGCCAGGGAGCGGAATATAATATATTTTGGGGAAAACATTTGTTAAAAAGAAACAGTTTATACACCTATGACATGAGATTTGAGAAGAAATTTCTTTTAACTAAAATATCTTTGTCTCGAGCAGCGGCAGAAACCATGCACTAAACGCCAAAAGAAACGTTACCCTCCTATCTTTATGAATTACTTAAAAGCTTAAAAGCCCAGACTGAAGCTGGTTTTATAGTGCTAGCCCACTGAGATACCATGCCGCAGTGAAGCAGGAATACCCCACTCAGACACAGTATACTGACTCCGAGCCGACCAGTCCTTGTTGTACCCATTAATGCCGAGCGCCAGGCAGGGACCAACAAGTACCATATTTTAACGTCTTTTGGTATGACGCGGTCGGGGATCGAATCCGCGACCTTCCGTTCTCCGGGCGGACGCTCTAACCACTACACCACGGAGGCGGTCAAAGATATGTTAGAAGGTATAAGTTTGCAACAAAGCTTAACAACACAGCTCTATGTACATGACAAATGCATTCATATTTAGGTAAAATGCATCTCTTTCAGAAGAGTTAAATTGTCCTATTTTCGACCATGCCGAAATAAACCAATAACAGTGCTTTAGATATCCAAAAGAAAGGTCGAAATAAAATTCTGCTTTGAGACGAAGATAAGCCATTTAAAGTCACCATTTTTCAACTATTAAAACAATAAATAATTGTTGTAGAGTGTAAAATTGTAAAAAGAATCATTCCTATGATTTCAGCCATTTAAAACATTTTCTGCTTATATCCATTAGTAAAAACAAGTAAAACGTGTCTTTGATACTGTGAAAAGGTGTTTAGGAACTTCTACAATGATCTTTATTAACATTCTTGCTTGCAAAGTAACACTTTTCTGTTTTCTGTTTACACATAGCAATATCAATCGTCCAAACGTAGCAATATTCAAGCAGTATTTTCATCCATTTCACGTGTAGAATGATTCTATAGGATATAAAGAGAGACTACAATGCATGATACGACACACAAGTACGAGAAATATGCCACGATTAACAGCTGAAGAGAGAGAAAGAGCATTTGGGCTGTTGCAGATGGGGTCGACATATAATGCTGTTGCCAACGCCCTCGGATACCACCGTATCACGGTTGTAAGACTTATTCAGCGATACAGACAGACTGGGGTCACCGTAGACAGACCAAGAAGTGGACGTCCACGCACCACAACGCCAGCTGAAGATATGTACCTCCGTCATCAAGGAAGGAGGGTAACGTTTCTTTTGGCGTTTAGTTTATTCGGTTGGAATATTAAATTATAAAATTAAGAAATATTAACACATGTGCAAATTTAGTGTTTGAGAACATACTAGCATATGTTTGTTGCTATATCTATATGAGTGATCTGTCCCCTATCAGAGTCTGGACCAGACAAACGAAATATACTGAGAGAAACAAATAAAGGAACGCAGCAAAATTCAAGTATTGCTATTTTCCAGTTTTCATCACCAGCTTTGAATAGCGCTGTGGGAGGAAATCTGAGAATAAATAAAGGAACACTGGTCCCTTAATTTGTTTCCCTCAGTATATATTCTGAACACGCTGTCAGAGAGCGATGATATTCAGTCAACACCATCTATGTATCAGAGGGCTGTGGGGTAGCCTCCTGGTTAAAGCTTTCGCTCGTTACGCCAAAGACCCGTTTTCGATTCCCTACATGAGTACCATGTCTGAAGTTCATTTCTGGTGTCAACCGCCGTGATATTGCCGGAATATTGTTAAACGTGGCGTAAAACCAAACTCACTCACTCACTATGAATCAAAGGGCGGTGAGGTAAACACCTGTTAGTAGTATATAACGTGTCGCCAGACGGTAGATTTGGTTGAGGGAGGTTGAGGGAAGGTAAGGACATGGATTGGCTGATGTAAGTCACGTGATCATAGCTGATAGGTAAATATAGACAGCACGTCACAGGTCAGGAAAGTTCAATGAAAGGTGTGGGTGTTTTAAGGCAGTCGTGCAGAAAACTCTTCATTAAGCGAGAAAAAAACAAACAAAAAAACAAAAAAAACAAAAGCAAAGTGTCCTGAATAGAGCTATGTATAAGCATGCTGCCCTGATTAGACAGACAGACAGTACCCGTCAGCCCGGTTTTGAATTGAGCGCGCTTGACAACTCACGTGACTCCGTCGTTTTAAATAGCCCGCGCTCGACAGAGCGTGCGACCTGTTTTGATGAATGCAGGGTGTGTGTGTTAAAAGTACATCGTATCACAATAGAGACGGGTTGTGTCAACATGGTTCGGAGATGGAATCTTCGAGTCATGTAAAATGTAGTTGAAAAACATTTCATACAGAACGCGTCCTGTACAAGTATAACACCATCAAAGTAATGGAAAGTTGGTGTAGGTTTATATGTTATTTCATACTAGTGTGTGTTGTTTTTTTCCATCCAAATATAGCGTGATGAGAAATAAATGATTTTGAGCCATGTACACTAATGGATACAGTTTTAGTTTTACTAGACAGCGAGATGTTTGAAATAAGAGGCTTGAAATACACATGGATGGAAGCATATCAATATCATATAGCACACGTATAATACCATGAAATTCACGTCATTTGGAGAGAGACGAAAGAAATAGAAATGTAGAATCAAGGAATCTGCTAATTGAAACAATAGTATTTGGTGGAGGCAAGGTGGAGGGAAATGTATTGGCTGATCCAAGTCACGTGATCACCGTCAAATAGCCCGCGCTGGGCAAAGCGTTGGACTATTGTTCACCCTTTGTAAAGAAGGCGCTGAATTATTCAGCCCTGTGCCGACTTGAAGCCGATGTTGAAACCGATGTTTAAACGTTATTTCACGCGAGCTTTTTTTCCCTTCCCCTGCAAATGTAAGCCTATGAAACAAATAAACTGTATTGTGTATATGAAACTATGTATCCAATTTTAGTTTTACTTCAGGACTGAATTTCAGGGCGTGTTGTTTAACGGTTTGAAATACATATGGATAACTACATATATCCATGTTAAATAGAACACCCCCACCCCCAACCCCCCAAAAAACACAACAACAACAAAACAAAACAAAACAAAAACAACAACAACAAAAAACAACAAAAAAACAACAACAAAAAACAACAACCAAAAAACCAAAACATACAAACAAAACAAACGATGAAACATGTAGCAGTGCGACAGCATGCAGCTAGGTTTGTTGGGAAAGAGACAGAATTTGCAATCTATAAGAAAATTTAGCGGTGAGCAACGTGTTTAACAATAATTACCCTTCATTCGAAGAGAGAACCTAGTTTAGGAATTTAGACGTTGGAAACATCATACAATAGGTTAGGTCTACTAATGCCTACAGTGAATAATGCCTACAGGGAATAATAGCTACAACGTTTGCAGTGACAGCGATACGCTTACCTGCACACAAGTAGATTGTTCCACTTAGTGTGCACTATTGCCTACAAAGGGATTAGGGGAGGCCAGCAAGGAGAGTAAAGAGTAAGATCAAGAGTATTAAATCGTTAGCTAGCTTATGTTTTGATAATTCCATACGCATTTAGTTCTCACACGAGAAGGAAATTGAAGAGTAAAGTAATTAATAGAGAGATTATTAAAGGGAGAAGGAAATGTATTGCTTTAAAATTGAAGAATAGAGTAATTAATTGAGAGATTATTAAAGGGAGAAGGAAATGTATTGCTTTAAAATGCTTGTGATACAAATCTTCATTGCAAATCATGGCAAATCCCAAGAAAGTCGGATACTTCACATCACAGAAAGGAGGACAGCAGGTACTCTTGGAGGGATACCGCTACAGACTCAACAACAGGCGACAGACGTGTGTACACTGGAAGTGTGTTCAAGGTGGCTGCTATGGCAAGTACGACAGTCGGACAGTTTGTTCGGAATCAGACCCCACACAACCACCCACAAGAAGACCAGGTAGCCCTGAAGATTGCCAGTTCCCTGAGGCAGCGGGTACAGACTGAGACGATGCCAGTTCAGGTGATCTACGATGAGGAGATTTCCCGACTTGACCGAGGTGAAGCAGCAACAGTCAAGTCGTTCTATTCTATGAAGAGTTGACTCTACAAGCAGAGACGGAAGATGATGCCGCCACTTCCCCAGACGCTCAGCGAGGTGAATCTACCCGACTTCTTCAAGGAGACTACAGATGGACTGCCCTTCCTCTGCATTGATGACGGTGATGATGACAAGATTCTCTGCTTCGCCACAAGTGACCGCCTGACCCTCCTGCAAGAAGTGGACACCCTCTACATGGACGGCACCTTCTACTCCTGTCCTCCTCTCTGGGATCAGCTGTACGTCATCCATGGCCTAGTCGGAGGGAAGATGACCCAGTTGGTCTTCTGTCTACTGCCGAATCGTCAACGCCGCACCTATGAACGCCCGCTACGTCTCCTGAACGACAAGATCCAGCAGACAACGGGATCGCCCCTTCAGCCTGATGTCATCCAGACGGATTTCGAAATCGCTGC